TACGCTATCGTACGAAGTGGCGGGTGCGATCTGGGAAGTATACGTGGGCGACGTAACTGCCGCCACTACTCTGCAGCTGTGTCAGTACGGAATGCCCGCTACTTGGTGTGGCTTGCGCGAAGTTCTTAGCGCCCCCATGGTCGAATTCTCCGCGGTCAGACTCGAAAGGCGAGAGGGGGTAGTGATAAGAATTTCCCGTCTGCCGCCAGCAATTCGCATCCCCGCGGTTCTGCTCTCGGGGGCAGTAGCCCAGCACTCCCGGAGATGTAGAGGGGGCGTCACCCCAACGTGGCAAGGCGCAAATGCACGTGCTGCGCCACGAGCGTGTCCGAAGCCGACGGACCGCCGGTCACGGTGGAAACCGGACGTACGTCACGTCCTGAAGCCGAACGTTCGTCAGTCGAAGCCGAACGTGGGCGTCAGGTGAAGCGGTACGTCATCGTCCGAAAGCGACGTGTTGTCCGGGTTGAAGCGACCAACGTGTCATGTCTTTAACGGCGTGCGAGTTCAGTCTGAAGCTGAGCTTACGTGAAACGCTGAGCACCCCCGACGTAGAATCTCGCTGCAGTGTTCTGTGCTTGAATCGTGACCTGCTCTGACCGTATAAGACTACCGTCTCCCAGAGCACCAGGCAGCTTATAGAGCTTCAGTTCAGCAGCTCGGTTCGTTCAGTTCAGAACGTTGAGTTCAGTTCAGTTCAACCGGCAGCGCTCTATGTGAACCGGCCAGACATCACAGGGAGCGAATCCTTTCGGAAGAGGAAGCACAACGCAAGATACAGCACTAGCGAATCAGCGGATCTCTGCAGGACTTAAGGGCGCCTCTCTACAGAGGACTGTTTGTAAGCCTTGCGCCCTAGTTGATCTTGTTCGCTCATACTCGGGCCTTACGCCTGCGCTAGAATATGTACCGTTGTTATGCCTCACTTCTGTCGGTTGACCAGAGCGGAAATATAAAGCCCGACCTTTATTCCCGCGAGCCTAAACATTTTCATTTTCTGAGGGTTGTGTTGTTTGGTTTCTTCTGCGACGTTGCGTCAATCCAGTTGGATCGAACAGTGGGAGAGCTCCCACGTACGGGAAACGAACGTTATCGATAGTATATATATACATGAATATATATATATATACACACACACATGAATACATATTTATTTATTTATTTATTTATATCTATAGAAGTGAAAACACACCTACACCCATGTAGATATGAAACATTAATGTTAATGAGATAATTAGAATAAAGGTGTTAATTTGGTGGGGATCGGCAAGCTTTGCCCGAGAATTAGCTCTCTTCATCGATGCTATAAGAAGGGATAACGGTAAATATCAAGGCTTTCATAACATGACGAGAGATGAATAAATTCTCACAGTTCTGATTAAAATTTTAACCATCCTCTTTTCTTTTCAAAGCTCGCACAAAAACAAAATTGCGAGCTTTAGAGAACGTATATAATATTTCTTCCTCGGCTTGACAAACAGCAGAATGGAAACCAGATTTGATGATTGAAATATAATACACAATGGCAATGATGGCCCGGGTTACCCATGATAATATTGGTAGAAAAGAAAAAAACCGAGTGAAAAAAAAATCACAAACTACATGTAAACGCAGGTAAGGAATACGATTACGTATAGGTAGTTGCGCTCTTAATATTGTTCTCTCGCCAAAGCTTGACCTCAAAACGGAGTTAATGCGATCTTACGAGATCCTCATTATCACTCTCATTTTCACTTTTATATTTGCTAATAAAATTGTCTATTATCTGTGCGTTGTCTACTTCTGAATATTTAGTATTTATGCTATTAATATATATAAGTTATGTTATAGATATAAATAATAACTATCAATATAATTATAATAGTATATAATATAATATTAATATTAATATATATTAACTATAAATATAGATATATCTAACTATTATAATAGATATTAATTATATATGTGTGTGTGTGTGTGTGTGTGTGTGTGTGTGTGTGTGTGCGCGCGCGCGTGTGTGTGTATATATATATACAGGTCACATACGGCCAAACGTTAAAAATTATTATAACTAATGTTAGTATAGGATTGCGTTAACACTTGTGCTCGCGCCTTTTTCAAAATATCCTGACCCATATTCACGTAAAGGGCGAATTTAACGAAGAATAATTTTTATACCTTTAAGCATAATAATTTCCGATACGATCAGTAATTTATCTGCCTATCTTTATCTCACGGGTGATCTCTACGGCATAAATTAAGGGTACGAGCATAACTAAGACTGAATCCTAACGAGCATTATCGTCCCTTTCGTTATCTCAAGCCACAAGACCCGGATCTACAATTTAAATACGTTATTTAATAATCACAAAATATGAACGCATCTCTGCCTACAGAGGCTCGAAAACTTGCAACTAAGCGGCGGCCGCATCTGGCTTTTGATAGCAAGCTGATAGCGACGTATACGGTGCACCTCAACCTACCTGCTTATCGGGCGATATACCTACGCACATAAGGGCACGAAAGGAAGCGAAATAAATGGAGCAAGATGGTTGACGGGGGAGCGAGACGAATAAGCGATGATATTGAGTTACTCTTATAAGACGACAGGTGCGAAATATCTATAAAAATAAATGTATAACAAAATAAATATATATATATATAAATAAAAAAATTATATATATGTATTTATTTATATTGCTATGTATATAGGAGGTAACTAGCACGCGACTGGGAGAATTATTGGCGTAACTGTCGGCACGTCGTTGTAACTTCGTATGTTGCGTCGTCTGCAGCCGTGCTGTAGCGAGTCTGCCATCTCAGCCTGGCTGCACCAAGACCACGCGCTCTTTGCCAGTGAGTGTGTTGCCAACACAGCGAAATAGAAACTCCTTTCCGTCTAAACTTTCGACATCTCACCACCGTATCACTGAATCATCGAATCGAACGAGAGCACATACACACACGCGCGCGCGCGTATCCCCGAGCGCGCTCTCTCTCTCTCTCTCTCTCTCTCTCTCTCTCTCTCTCTCTCTTTCTCTCTCTCTCTTTCTCTCTCTCTCTTTCTTTTTCTCTCTTTCTCTCACGCGAGCGATGACTGAGATTCTACGCGCACGACTCGCCCACGATACACGTCTTCTATCTCTTATACATGCATACGCGAAACTGACGCTTTTTGTGACTGAAATCCGATTCTAGTCGCCAGACGCTGCGCGGAAAATTTAGTTATCATTAGGCACCTGAGCAATCATCGCAGCTGCAGACGATAAGACACGTGTAGGAAGCCTTGATGAGAGATGCTATCTGCCGCTCGACGCTATGGCTGCGCGAACGCCTATCGGGTGTGAGCGTATACGTGGGAGAGTGTGCGTGCGCGCCGCGTATTCTTTACTCTCTATATCTACTGCTGTGGCTTCAAGGCGGCGGCGGCGGCTGATGGGGGAGAGAAAACCCGACTGAAGCTAACAGTTATCGGCCGCGCCGCGCGAACAAATTTCCGAATGGTTTCTTTGCTAATAGCATCCGCTATATTTAGATGTTTTCCGCGCAAATAGCATGATGATGTAGTAGGGTTTTACCTGCACCGGTGGAGTGCCAGGATTCTCTTGCTGTGTGAACGCGATCCTCGAACGATTCGGTGCTATGTCTGTCTCCATGCGTCCGTGCAAGTCGTCCATCCCCTCCAAACGCATCATACTGATATTAAATCGAGCCGTTGCCGTCGCCGCGCCGTGTTCCAATTCTCTCCTCTCGATATCACTTGATTTATGTTACCGATTCGCTGCAACGTGGGGCTTAGTCCCTGCGCGTTGGCGATGGCTGCGAAGATAGACCGCGTGCTTATCATCGGCGAGTGTCGGAAAAGCTGGTCGCTGATTGGTTGGCGCGTTGCGAGGGGCGTGGTGTCGTGGATACGGCCCGCAGCATTCCAGCGGGAGCTCGGCGAGCAACGCGGATGCTGCAGTTATAGCGCCACTGCCCGCACCGTAGTTGGTGACATGCGGTCTTCGCGTGCGTGCGCGCGCGTGT